TTGTGACGGTGTCCCTGTCATGTTTTGATGGTGTGCCGGTCATGTTGTGATGGTGTCCCGGTTATGTTGTGATGGTGTCCCGGTCGTGTTGTAACAGTGTCCCGGTCATGTTTTGATGGTGTGCCGGTCATGTTGTGATGGTGTGCCGGTCATGTTTTGATGGTGTCTCGGTCATGTTGTGATGGTGTCCCGGTCATGTTTGATGGTGTCCCGGTCGTGTTGTGACGTTGCCCTGGTCATGTTTTGATGGTGTCCCGATCATGTGATGGTGGCGCGGTCATGATGTGATGGTGTCCCGATCATGTTTTGATTGTGTCCCAGTCATGTTGTGACGGTGTCTCGGTCATGTTTGATGGTGCCCTGGCCATTTTGTGATGGTGTCCCGGTTATGTGATGATGGTGTCCAAGGAAGAGATGGTCGATGTGTTGAAAACAGCAGTTGTTTCCAGATTTTTCTTTTTGTACCGGTGTGTATCTTGCTATTGGGGTCTCCTGCTGGGCTAATTTCATATTAGCACCTGATGAACCTCTTCTGAATGTTTTCAGATAGAGGGAAAATTTGGAACCATTGAATCTCAAGGACCTGCAATTCCATTTCTTCAGTCTTTCGCTCAATCACCGCATTGATCTCATAACGAGAACAACCGAAATGAGGTACTTCAGATGGTTCCATTTCAAGTGAAAGGCGTCAGTTTCGACCAACGCATTGAAGTGATTAGCCTGTGGAAGTGAATCAAATTGTTCCATCTTCTTCATCGAATGGTCGGCACAAATGTCGCAACGATAGCTCCTGACACATTTGATGATCTCATCAGCAAAATTAGCATCAATCAAGGAATTCCCCTTTCGTTCACGACCAGGATATCCAAATTATTTGTGCAATTTGACGACCACTTGAAATATTCTCTTCTCATGAGTCTTGGCATATTGAAGATCATTGGATATGATGTGTTTTTCTTTTCTTATTCTTCCTTCAGAAATCCTTCCGCGACGCAGATCTTTGATACCTCACATATTCCCCATTGGTCTTCCATATCTATATAGGTGGCGTTGGTAGTCTTCTTGACAAATTGAGCCTCATAATTTTGCATTTATTTCAATTCTTTTGATTTGCCCTCCATTTTCATATGCGTTCCAGGAACGTAGTTGTATTTGAGGTTCAAGGCTTCATAAATATAGGGATTGTTGATTCGGATTCGAATTGATTTCCGATCCTTTCCAAGGCATTCGCCGTGGTTGTTGTAATAAACCAGTCCGGTTTAGCATCGATCACACATTGCATCCATGCCATCCATAGATTGCGAGGTCATAATTGTTGACGAGGTTGTTCCGTGCGGGCGCTCAACAATGAATCCTCCATTAAATTCATCCTCCATGATGGCCGAGATATTCTTGACCATATCGAAATGGGATTGTTCTTTACTTGTTTGCAGCATTTTCAATCTTTCAAAGGCATTTGGTCGAATCATGTTAAGATGCTGTATGGTTGACCTTTTGTGCAAAGAAGTGAATACCAAATAAAATGATGTTGTATTTCCGGAATAAATCGGAAGAAATCATTTCGTATTGGATCCAAGGAAAAATCCCAGTGCGGCAGATTGAACACAGAGAGTTCGATATCTGGGCATTTGACCAAATATGCGAAGATGTCACCTTCGTCCACATACACTTCAAAAAGGATAAATGTTCGTCCTTCATGAAAATGTCCGATGATTTGTTTTGTGATCTTTTCCAGCTCTTGTGGTTCAATCTCAAAGCCGACGTTCTCCACGGCGTTGACGGCCTCATAATCGATAATGGCTTCAATGTCAAAGGTTTGCATGTATTCTTCATTCCCTTCGGAGATATTCAATATGTCATCGGATTCAATATTGCCATTATAATGCAGGAGGTTGATCAAGTAGTGGCCTTTCTTTCCTCGTTTTGGCTTGAACCATTCGGAATTTTCGATCTTCAAGGTTCCTTTGGCGAAATCTTATTATATCATCCATATTTCCAAATTAAATATGTCAAGAGGAAAGATGTTAGACCTGGCCTCACCATAACATGCAACTTGCAATCATATGCAGATGCCAAAATTTCTCCACACTAAAGCGAAAGATTCTCCTTATTAACATTTAATATCGCAAAATCTTTTCGTCAAAATATTCGATCCATTTTGACGAACTATCTTCACCAACCAAAGTGCGGGTTGCATCAGGGTCGATGATGGCATAACCAACGTCCATAATATTGAAGAATTTTTCATTTTGTGGGATCTCCTCGACATCCTTTAGAGATTCAAATATCGTGATGTCCTAGAATACAAGCTAGATCGTAAGAATCCCACGATATTCCATCTACATTTGGGTCGCTCACAAATAACAATGAAAAATATATATTGCCGATATAAAGAATACATTCATGCAAACAATATCCATAAAACAAAATACGCTACATAGTAATATGCCTAAAGCGCAAAATCTAGAAAACCATAAAACCGGCCTTCGGAAATATTAGAACATATTGCTAATAAAAACAGAGGTTAAAATCTTTCGATATATATATTATATATATATTTGCGTCCAAAAAAAATTATCAATAATTATTATTTCTTATTATTTCATATCATGTAAAATTATAATTCAATTTTTGTTTTAAATTTATCGTCTATATTAATAATTATATATAAACATTTAATAATTTATATATTCACCGATCAATTTTTCAATTTAATATCGTCCTTACGATTTTTTTGCTAGTTACCTTCATTTGTTTGTAATCCAAGAAATTAAATGTTGGATTTAAAAATTTCGGAATTTATACAAATAGAATAGTTTTTATAAAATCAAAAATATAATATCAAATCCTTCTCGATATCCTTATTTAACCTATAAATCAAATCGCGCGATTATCAAGCAAAATTATAGAAAATAATATATAAATAATCCATTCGAATCCAAAAGTGCGATTCATTATCAAATAGTCCGATTATATTCGGATAATCGTCAATTATCGATAAACACAATAAATAATTGTTCAAATTCGATAATCGTCCCATAGGGCCCAAAAACATTTTCATTACACGGCGAATAATTATTCAAACCCTAATGCCTTCGAATATCCATCCTCCATAGCCTTTTCCTTTCGCGTTTACTGGGCCCCGAGAAGCCCTCGGTTCGAGTCGGTCATGCAAGAAAAGCGTCCCTATCTGCTATGGTAGTTCGGCTGAACAACAGCCGGCTCCTCAACGGCCCCCGCTTCGTGGAGGTCATGAAACTCGCGAGGCAATTCGCGATCGCACTGGACCGGATTCAACCTCGCCACATATGAGTGGAACGCTTCAGCCAGCGCGATGTTCAAACCGGCTGGGTAGACTTTCGCACGCGCTGTGCGGAAACTAGCCCCCTCTCGCCCCACAAGGCTCACATGAGCTCCTGGACCATGATGACATCGGCCATGTAGCCCAGTTTGCAGTGTGATCTCGCGGAAAAAAGGGAGCCGCACCAGGAGGAGCGTTGTAGGCTTAACCCCTCCTGCCCCATAGATGCATTGATCGAAGGACACAACGCTGACTGCCTCGCAAGATGCCAGCACCTGCATCACTTCCAGCGTCCAAATCGAAGGGCACGGCGTGCCCTTCATCCACCTCGGGTACTCCGGGTGCTCCAAGAACCCGCAACCTCCAACATAGGTACAAAGAAGCAGCAGCTCGATGGCCACCTGAAGCAAGCCGGTGCCTACCATCACTTGTTCGCGCTGCCTCCTCGAGATCCAAGGCAGACCCCAAGGTATATTTTTGTCCCGCAGCGGGGGGGGCCCCCGCCCATCCAACGCGCAACTGACCAGGTCTCGCAGGGGGGCCCCCCCTACTCCGCAAACTTGGCCAGCTAGGATGCGGACACGCCACCACTCGATGCGCTCGCGGTCAAGTAAGTCGCCTGCAGAACCCTGCAAACACAGATCTATGCTCAAACAAAAGCACTGCACTGTGCCGACCCACTTGTGATGCTCGATCTGGTGCTGCAAGTCTGTGGCTTTGCGATGTCCTGAAAAAAGGTGAACAAAAATTTTGCATCGGACAGCAACTCTAGCATACCAAACAGACAAGGACGTTGCAGCAAAAGCTCCCCCTGCTCCAACTTGGTGCCCTTTAGCTTGCCCAGAAACGATTTTCTCAACAGCAAGGCTAGGCTCAGCCAGCTACTGCTCTTCTTGCCTCACCAAGGTCCCTCCCACATGATACCAGGGCTTGACAGCTGGCTCACCGCTACTGCAAGCTGCTCGAATGGCCCGAGCTTCCGGGCTGTCGGAGGGAGGGAGCTGAACAAAGGGAACCCTACAGGCTGGCAAATGCGCCTTCTTCAGGCTCCAACCCTGCAGCTTCAAATCAGCGGCTTTGTCTCGGTCAATTTGGTCGAGCTCTTCAACCAACGCTAACGGCAGTGGCTCAAAAAGGGCTTCAAGCTTGTCAGCGCAATCCCTGGAATAATAGAGATGCGCCATCAACCTAGCGCGCTCATGATATTCCTTGCCGCAACTCAAGCAAAAAGACCCTCCCGCCAAAAACCGAACTTTTGGACGATAGGCATGTGCGTGTGCCGAGTGCATAAACAACCCTCGTTTGGTGGAGAAAAACCGCTGACACTGCTCGCAGCAATAGACTTGCGCAGACTGCTCTTCAGCGGAATGCTTACGAAAACTAAGTCCTAAGTCATGCCATTGGTCGTGCATGCGCATGAGCCACTTCTTATGAGCAACCTGCCTCTGCTCAAATCGCAAGGCTGCCTTTGCTGCTCTGCGAATTCTTGTGGCCCAATCGTCACACTGCATGACAAAAGTCCTCCAATCTGCAAACGTGGCACCAAGGTCTGGCCACGTTCCATTCGGATGAATTTTTTTTTCAACCAAAGGCAATCCTTCAAAATCAAAGCTTTCCATGCCGTTCGAGAATCATTGGCTTCAACCACTTGCCAAAACAATTCTGGCATGTGTCGCACTGCTCGCTGCAAATATCTCAACCTGTCCACAGAAACTTGGACAGCTGGGTCGAGCATAGAGGCTAATGCGGCAACTTCTGCGGAAGAAAATCTGTGCGCATCGAAACCATTCATGGGCCCCCGAACAACCGACTTGATCATCTCTCGGAAAGCAGCCTGAAGTCTATGCACGTCCAAATCTTTCACGACGACCCAGACATGTATGTTGTACAAAAGCCTAGGCACAATCAAATTGCGAAAAATGTGGTTCTTGGTGCTCTAAGCTACCTGTTTCTGGGTCCATAATGATCGGATCATGGGCCCCCACGCTTTGCGTGCTGAGGCGATACGGAACTGAACATCCTTACTCGGCTTGGCATCGCACTGAAGGTGCGATCCTAAATGTTTGTAAGAACGAACCAGGCGAACATGCTCAACTCTGTGTTCTAACAAGATAGGGTGGGTGCCATCAACCTGCATCCACAATTCCTGTTTCTTTTTCCGCACCCCACGACCCTTAAGGACCAGCATGAGCTCAATTTTTTCTGCCTGGAAATTCACCTGCAATCCTCGAGTACGTGCCGAATCACAAAGTGCAGAGAGCACTACTGCGGCTGCAGCAATGAGTCTCTCATGCGACGCATGCAGGATGCCAAACGCTACATCGTCGAAAAAGGACACATCCAGGAACCCAGGCAAATCCTGTCCAAGGACTTCTTGCACCGGCTGCTCCAACAAGTCAGCGCAACCCCAATTGCTGACCCGCTGACGAACTTCGGCTAAGACCTTCTGCATGATAATGTTGAAGCAGATGTCTCCTATTGGGTCTCCTGGCCTTGTTCCCCGACTGGTCAGAGCCAGGGACTTGAGCCCCTTCATGGAGAAATGAGCATTCTTGAATGCATCTTGCGCCCAATTCTGCACTAATTGGCTTTGACCCTGTAAGGCATAGTCCAGCTGGGCTTGCTTTTCCCACTCATCGAGCTCCTGTGGTGAGATGCCTTGCCTCGCTAGGAATATACAGAGGTATTCATCGTGCAGGGGCTGTCCAAACAATCCCTGGCGAATAACACTGTAAAAGGCTGCATGCAAGTCTAAAAAGACAAAGGCGGCCGAAACGGCGGCGTACTCAGAGAGGCTCAATAACGACTGCAACATATGATGCCCCATGTCTGTGCCGCACCCTTTACGACCCCCGAAGCATGCCTTACTGGCGACTTTCTCATAGGTGGCATACAGTCTATCACGTAACAAATTGTGATGCAGTTTGGCGATGGAATCAAAAAGAAAGATCGATCTATAGTTGTCGGGGTTGGAGATCGCACCTTTCTTGTAGAGGGGAACAGCTCGACCAACTTTCCATTGAAGCGGTTCGCGCCCAGCGCAGACCGCCTTGACCAGCAGTTCGTGCAATATGGCACACATTTGATCTCCTCCAGCACGAGGAATTTCATTGCTCAGCTGGTCAGGTCCTGTGGCCTTGCCCTTTATCCTCCATAGCCTATTATAAATCAAATCTTTCCATTATTATATATCAAACCGTATTATATATCCCACGCTCGCGAAAATTTCACGTATAAGCATCGACGGATATAAGTGTAAAGCCATCCGCATTCCGAATTTCGATTTTCAAATCTCCAATCTCGGTGTTCGAAACTAAGAATTAGAATCTCGAAGCCCAAAAATTTGAATCTCAAATCTTAAAATTGGAATCCCGAATCTCGGTTCCCGATGCTCGGATCTTGAATCTCGAATTCCGAAATTCGTATCTCGAATTTCGATTCTCGGATCTCGCGTCTCGCATCTTACATCTCAGATCTCAAATCCCAAATCTCGGATCTAAAAACTCGGATCTCGACACCCAAGGCTCCTGTCGAAGCTCACATCTCGTATCTAAATGCCGATTCTCGGATCTCAACTCCCGAGGTTCGGGTCTCGGATCTCAAATCTACAATTTAACACCTCGAATCTCGGATTTCGTATTTCGCATCTCGACCCTCGGGTTTCGGAATTCCGAATCCCGAATTTCGGATCTCGAAATTCGCATCTCGCATAATTTTCATCCCCGTACGAATTCAGGGGTTAAGGTTGTGTCAGGCATTTTGTAGCAAAAAAATATTTTTGTCCTACAGAAAGGCCTGTCCGACATACAAAATTTTAGTTTGGTCATTACAAAATGAAGTGCATAACATCATTGTGTACAGGGCTTCAATGAACTCTGGAAAATATGCTCACTACAAAATGAATGGACTCAACCTCAAATCGATATGTCTGTCGGAGACAATTTACAACTTTCCGAATAATCTCCGGCCATACGGAAGCTTTCCGTCAACTTTTGTTACAAAATTGCTATACCTCAGGTCTTTCTGCTATGTGCTGTTCCAGTCCCGAAATGACTCACAAATTACACAATAACATGCTTGTCCATACAATGGAACTCATAAAGTTACAAAATGCATATACCTTAGGTCATGTTGTAACGTCCTATTCCAATGCCTAAATTGCTTACAGACTGCAAAATGCGATTCCTGTCCATAAACAATTGCCTTCTACTACACAATCAAATAGCCTAGATCATTCTGTAGTCCTACTCCAAGATAATATCGCTACAAACTAGCGACCTCAACATCCTTTTGTAAGCCCCTAATAGGCCCACTACCCCAGATTCTTATTTACAAATCCTTACAAAATGGTGGCCTCAACCTCATATCACATCAATCACACAGTGAATTGGGCATGTATTACCCGATTTCAAGGCTAGGCACTACAAAATAACCCCTCATATAGGGCCAAGGCCCTACATTTTGGAATAGTTATTCGCACGGGGATTAATTTTCAAATATCGGAACATAATAATTATCCAAAAAAATAAAACATTTTTTTAAATGTTTTTCTTTATTTAAAAAATCAATAAATACCCTCAATAATCTATTAATTAAAGCGAAGAATCGTAATAAATCGTAATAATAAAACAAAATTTCGTATAATTTGCAAAATATTAAGCATCGTAAAAAATATTATAAGCATTAAATTTGGTTTTAAAAAAATCAATAAATATGCAAATAATCCGCCAAAATCAAGAATCCTAACAACAAAACGAAATTTCCAAAATAATTCAATTAAATCGATAATCGAATAAATCGTACGGAAACGAGAATCCAAAAATAATACATTATTTTTAAACATCGCAAATTTAAAAAAAATCCAAAAATAATCGAATTATTTCGAACATTTTCCACTAACCTAAAACCAAACCCCCAAATATAAAACCGCCACAAAACAAAATATATTCGTTTCAAATTTCAATAACATATATTTACAATTTTCAATTCCATCGAACTACGCGCATATTAATAACCCTATTATATATTAATAACCCTATCATTCCCAATCCTTTCTTTCCCTATATAAATATTCAAATAATATACATTTTAGCATTCTTTTTCCAATATATAAAACCTCCATCTATATAAAATAAAAATCTAATATATCAAACCCTACAATACCATAAATATTTAAAATAAAACAATAAAAAAATATATAGGCCAAGAAAACCAAATCAAATTTTTCCATTCCTACGTATCCAAATGGTTTACACGATATTAATTAATATTTTAATAATTAGTATTTATATAAAATAATTATCCCCCCAGGGACTCGAACTCCACGTTTTATGATATTTATTCCAACCCGGATTATAGTATATATTTATTTTATATAAATATGTTTCAATTTGTTACAGTATATCTGTTTAATTCCATTTTAGATCTAGTTTTGATCTAATTTATTTATTTCCTTTGGCTTTGCGTTCCTGGCAAATTGTGAAAGAATCAATTTAATATCTTTCTATTCCTTTATATCGCCTCCGAGATCCGCTTGGCTTCTTCGTCCTGCTCCTTGCGCACACAAGCATTGAACCTGCAAAAGCCAAGGTAGAAGTCATATTCAGTTATATGTGTTGCCTAAACAAAATTGAAAGATCAACAATTCTTCCATGTGCTTCGAAGACCCGCTCTGCCTGCTTTGTCGTACCCGATCTACCTCTCCAGGCTCCAGGGGGTCTGTTGCATAGACCTCTGAGATTGACAAGCCAAGCAAAACCAGAAGACTTCAGAGAAGTTTCAGAAGCTCGCGCTATACTTTTCATATCTATTCTCGAGAATTGTCATCCAATGTTATTTGCTGCCCCAGGCCTCTGCATAGCAGGTGTTCGATACACACTTGCTGACGCAGTCATCATTCTCATCTGCATGAAACCTCACAAGGAAACATCATGTTCATCTGCATGAAACCTTACAAGGAAAATGGGCCTACCGGCAAAGGTTGCTTGCTTGCAAGAGCACAGCGACTTGAACATAAGGCAATGTCAGACAATGAAAGAAAGCTACCCGTGCATTCTAGGCTAAATGGCCACGCCCGCACACATTCTGGCCCATGACCCATGCGCCCCCTATCTTGTGAGCGTCGTGTGTGCGTGTATGTATGTGCATCTATCTCGGTCTGTGCGTGTTGGGGGATGTTTTCAGGTCTCATTCCCACAGGCTAGGGAATCCAAAGCACATGTCGTATGGTCGTGCAATTGTATGTGGAAGCTTCTTCTCGTACACGTGCCGTACAGTAACGGTGCCCACCACCTGCGCCAGGGCAAAGGTATTTACGATCCTGTTTGATGCTCTGGTTCGTTCGATTTAGTTCTGCAAAATCAAGCTGCTTCCACGTGACCTTGTCATGGAATAGTTATAATCTAATATGATTGCTGTCATTCTAGGCTCTCAACATCTCTCAACAATTATGAAAATGACAAATTTAAAAGAGGAAAGTCATCCATCCAAAACAGCACTAGCATTTGAAGAAAAGCCAGCGTCATTTCGTGATCCTGCAAGGATTTCGACATTGCCGCCAAAGATACCCAGCACAAGGACCTCGAGAGCATTCACCTTCCTTTTTCCAATGCACCTAGCCCCAGTCCCACTCATTCAATCGGCACGATATTGGTGAGCAAATCATCTCAGCTACCAGCTACCATTTACAGTTCGATTGCGCATGCTTATCAGAAAATGAACGAACAGTGTTCAGGGTGAAATCTCACATTGGGTTGCATACATCAACGTCCACTTCACAAAGCGAGCACATCAAGCTGTTGCACTTAGAGTCACATCGGTTTACGTTTGTGAATGCACAACTCTCAAATCTCTCAAACCCGCACCTTGGAGGTGTGTTGGGGATATTTTTTGGGTTTGGCATCGGCAAGTGCCGTTGCCTGAGTGAAGATGCAGGGCTCTCACATGTGACACATGAATCCCCAGAAGTGCAAATGCAACAAGTGTAGCATCACAATGTTTTTGCACGGCGCAAGGGTGTGACTCATTGTCAACAGGCATGAGGCTAGTTGTCCAATCTTCGATGTAACATCAACTCCCAAGGTGGTGGACATCAGACCCAAAATGGATTTCCAAGAGCTGCTGGCTTCAAGTGCAGGCCCCGGGCCAAAAGCAGGACAATCATCGCACGCAACATCGTCATGGAGACCTCAGCTCCAAAACTGGACGGACAATATAGATGGTATCATTCAGAAAATCGGCAATCGTGCGCTCATTTGGTTTTGGCCTGTTTTGTGGCATCCAAGCTCTTGGCCTGCTTTCGATGCATTGCCACCTTGAGTGGCTTAGACCTTCAGTGAGAAATGGATCTGGATCAGGAGATGTTTTCCCGTCCACTACTTTTGCACATCCTCTCTTTTTCTCTCTCTTTGTTATTTTCCTCTTGTTTCTTTCTCACTCTATGGCTCTCCCTCTCTCTCTCTCTCTCCCTCTCACTCTGTCACCCTCTCACTCTCTTCTTCTTTCTCGTTCTCACGTTCTCTTACCGTCTGTCCTGCAGATCGCAATTGCATCTTATGTGTCGTCGTTTTTGAGATTCAACAGCTGTGGCTCCTTGGTCTATGCATGTGGAATAGCTGATGCTCACACTCATGCTGGACCCCACGTGCACCCACCCCGCGCACCAGCCCGCCGCTAACAAACAGTATGTTTTTGGAAGTAACTAGCTGCCGGACTGCACAAGCTGACGAAAAAACCAACTACCCATCCTACCTACTTATTGATGGACCAACTAACAAGCAAGCCCAGCTCCACTTCACATTGCTCGTCCAAACGCTGCCTGCGCATGTTCTGTTGGATACTTTGATATATTTCGTGATACGTCTAGTCTTGTATTTCCCACCTGTCGGGTGAGGGTTGTTAGATTGGATGTCAGCTGTCGCCGTCCTCCTCCTCCTCCTCCTTCTCGTCCTCCGCATCGTCCTCAACCACGAGCCTCGGCTGGCAGCGTTCCCCGCCGGACCTCAACCACGAGGGTCGCGTGGCAGTGTTCCCCGCCGGACCTCAACTGCGAGGGTCGCGAGGCAGTGTCCCCCGCCGGACCTCAACTGCGAGGGTCGCATGGCAGTGTTCCCGCCGGACCTCAACTGCGAGGGTCGCATGGCAGTGTTCCTGCCCGACCTCAACCGCCAGCTCCCGAGCGCACTGGGCGCTGCCGGACCTCAACCAACACTCACAAACGCCAACACAAACACACAATCACAAACACACAACCACAAACACAAACACACAATTACAAACACTCAACCACAAACACATCCACAAACACAAATACAAACGCACAATGAAAAACGCACAATCACAACCAAAACCACAACACACAACCACAGAGACACATCCACAGCACACAACCACAACACACAACCACAGCACACAACCCGAGAACCCATATGCAAAATCGAGAACCACAAAACTCAGGACCACGGCAACATACTCCTCACCATGGCATGAAAACAAAATGATTGAAGCGTCATGGTGGGGATCACTCGAAGTAAAGTAGTTGTGTTCTTCCTGTCCCGGTTCTCAGCCAGAGACGACGACAAGTTCCATCAACATCCAACAAGCCTACTCAATCGAGGCAGTGAGTTTCACAGGGCAGTTTCACAGGGCGCCTTCTGAGCACCGGGCTCCGTAGACTGGCCGCTCAGGCGGTCTCTCGAGATAGGTCTGTTGGTCTTCCATCAAGTCGTTGATCAAGACAGTTCTGTTGCTCCTCTCAAGTTGGTCGTGTTGCTTAGGCTGCTAGCAGGAGCGTGACATGTTGTCAAGTGTTGTCATCCTCAAGACACGACGTCTACTTGACAAATTGAGAATGTAACGTCCGAATAGGTTTCTGTGGGCAGACAGAAACTCCACAAGTGTCCCTCCACTTTTAATGTTCGCTCATGTGGAGAAGTCGTGCTGAGGTGGATCGATTGCAGCTAAGCCCTTTTTGAGCCGTCTTGCTTGTTTGAGCCTAAAGGCTGAACACGCAGGTCCCACGCAGGTCCCTGAGAGGAATTTCACTCAAAGGCCGCAACGAGCGCAAGTTCATGAGCAATGTCCACTGCGAGTCCTGATTGCTGAGGAACTAGAGACAAACTCAACTGCTGAATTTCTACGACAAGCAGAACGACAAGCAGAACGGCAGTCAGCACCCTTTCTTCCTAACTCTACAGCAAATCTAGTCTCTCTCGCATAGTCCAATTGTAGGAGTTGCGATATGCCTGTGTGCCAGCAACAGGTGCGATGGGATTCCGGGACATAGGTTAGACAGACTGAGTGATTTAAATATAAACTTGAAAGTCATACGTCATTCCGCTAAAACCCAACAGGAAGTTTTCAACAACTCAACAAAGCAATGCACATCCAAAGCCAGAAACTGATTGGCTCGATGAGGGGATTGCTTGAACATATTGGAATCTCAAATAGAAGGAACAAACACAAACCTCACCAAGAAAGACACTGAAGGCGCAACGAAGAAGGGTCCAAGAAACATGGAGTATCAAAAATACATTGACCAACGTTAACAAATTCGGACAACTCACCCGAGGCCCTCGCAATGCGGTCGACGTCTCCCAGAATGGGGGAGAGGGCGTTGGCCCATCGTTTGTCGTACCTGTCACTCGCTACTCACAAAATCCTTGGAAACAAGTGAATGCAATGTAAATAAACCCAATTTGTTCGTTTTCCAATCAGCTGCTGAGAAAAAGGACGAAATAGCTCATGCGCAGCCGCTGTCACATCGCGCAAATCATTGGAAGGGGAAATGCACTTGTGGACTGGATGTGAACTGTACACAGTGAGCTGCAGAAACGGAAAAGTGCAAAACTAAGGAAAAATTGCCAAAAAACTGCCCAACACTTCCTTTGTGAGAAATTGGGGTTGGCAACAAACGCTTCTCCCACCCGTCTGTGGGTGATCCAGGTGCATCTTGCCGAAAGCGGTACAGAACCTGAACAAGACTCTGCTGGAACTTCATGCGCGACGGGCCAAGCACACTTGGGAAACTGGATGACAAACAATAAAAAATGGAGAAACCATATATGGTTTTTTCATCCTCAATATCACTTGGCGCAAATTCAAAGTCACCTTTCAGGCCCCCAGCTTTGACGCTCCGCCGGGTAGGTAAGGATGTCTGGTGTTGTTTGTAAGAACAACTCAGTGTTGTCACCGTGAAACAAACACGACACTGCATGTATAAGGACCCAACAAAACTATGGCAATGCCACGAAGGTTTGGCCCGAAACTATTCATTGCTCATTTAGGCTTCGATTGCACCCAGAAACGGTAGACACTATAGACTTCACTCCAAACAGGCCAAAAAATCACATCTCGTCATTGCCAGAGTGGATGTGCACATGACACGCCATTTTGTCCGTCGAAATCTCAAAGTTAAAATTTGAAAGCGCAAGTCTTCTGTTGAACCAGGATACACACACCAGTTGCAACTGTCTGGACTTTCTCACAAGTGCGAGGTTCCTTCAAGTTAGCATTGTAGCCACATGCAAAACCCTCGACCTGTACCAAGTACCCAGACAACTGTATATAGTTATATTTTTGCATGCTCTTTTCAAGGCAACAACGTGCTCAGCCAAGGGGGGCCGAAGGTCAAGTGACGTGAGATCAGAGCAAGGCTCTCTAAAGCTTCTTGTTCGACACAACCTGATCATGCGCAATCCGGCCTTTAGCCTGGCATCGTGCACACTCTGCCGCGTCGCCCAAAAGGCGCTTGGAAGCGGGCGCGCGTTTACTTTGGGAATGCTTCATTTTTCATGATTTTTCAAAAACTTTGGAATAGAGCAGGTTTCTTATCAGCACCTAGCTAATTACAGCGATTTCGTGTCCTTAGCCGAGACACAGGTGTCGTAGCTGGCCAAGTACATTGGAATAGTGCAGGTGTTATATGAATTGCTAGCTGATGAAACTATTTGGGAGCTGTCGTAGCTGGCAAAATACATGGGAATAGTGTAGGTGTCAGAGAAAGTCATACGTTAGCAGAGAAACAGTAGAGAAAGAGAACCAGCACAGGAGGCATATATGATTGGTTAGAAGTTTATGCCCCGCGGAGTTCACCTTAAAATATTGATTTCATGGCAGGCGCGGGTGTCGGAGATGAAGTGCAGATCTCGTGGCGCGGGGGGGGGGGGGGGGGGGGCGCAGCGCCGCACACCAGATCCAAAGGTTAGAAAGCAAACAGATGGAAAAGCAAAAACAAAAAGAGAAAGGAGAACAGCTGCCAAAGCAGAAAAGCAACAAAAGCAAAGAGCAGAAAGACAAAAACACAAAAAGCAGAAGAGCAGCAGAAGCAGAAAAGCAGCAAAAGCAGAAAAGCAGCAGAAGCAGAAAAGCAACAAAAGCAAGAAAGCAGCAGAAGCAGAAACGCAGCAAAAGCAGAATCCGAAAAATAAATACAAAACAATGAAAAAACACGAAAAAAAACGCCCCTCCCTTGGAAGCCGTGGCTGGATTCATCTCCACTCAAAGAATCAATCTCACGGCCGAACAGAAGGACCAGCTGCAGGGTTCAGGCGACGTTAAAGAGACCGACTGAGGAGGCCTTGTGGGTAACCTCCTCTTGCACCTCGCTGATGAAGCCGATTGAAGCCTCTAATGGAGAAAATGTTGCGTGGGGTTGCTTTAGTGATCCTTTCCAAGATCCTATTGCTCAATGGTCTACTCAGCTTGATTGTAGGGATGCATCCAATGAGGCTGAGCCTTTCTCTCGCTTTCCTCTAGGCTCAAAAATGGAATAAGGCGGCTCCGCTTTGGACTGGATCATCTGTTTGAGAAGCTCCTGAAAGGTTTTCTTGGTGGCATCAATATGAGTGCTTCCGGTGTGAGAGATTGTTGAGAGCCGGGACCTGCTGCTTGAGACGTGCAGCCACCTCTTTCTCAGATTCTGGCTGTGGCTTGGTGATCTTCTCCACCGGACTTGGACAGGTTCCAGGTGAGATGACAACCTCAGTGACCTTCTGCTTTGAGTCATCCAGGGTGTCCGCCGGAGCTAAGATCTCCGCAGCCGTCTTCTGCAGCTTTGATGGCTTTGGGTCTCTGCTTGAACCAAGGCCTGGAGGAGGAGGCGGTGCTTTGGGTCGGTCCCGTCGTCGAGAGAGCTTCGCCATAGGAACTTTGACAGCAAAAACCTGTCTGTGGCTTCTTCCATGCCTGGCCACACTTCCTGCACGCGTATCTTGTTGGACACGATCTTCCCAAATCATCCAGTTGTGGCAACCTGGATGGGGTCATGTCTAGGAGGTTCTACCCCAGCTCGACATGACTCAGCTAAACGCGTCCACGAAGTCAAACGTGCCGGAGTCAAAGCCAGGGACCTTGATGAAGTAGACCCAATGGCGCCTGGGATCACAAGCCACCGCTATGAGGGTTGAGAGGGGCGCACAGCCTGGTCTTGAGCCACCCTTCAGCCAAACTTGAGCCAAATGGCTACGGGGCTTGGGCCATGTATATATACGTACATATATATATATATCTAAACTGTCGCGTAAAATATACTGTACTACAGTACCAGAATGAACCCAGCAGAAAGCTTCACGCACAAGGATCCGGCATACGGAAGTTGCATTGGTCGCTTGTCAAGTCGACCAGCAACACCTTGGAAAATCTCATCCTGTTGGATGTCAATTCAGGCGCAGGCAAGTTAAGTGATACGAAAGTCATATAAAAGTGTAGAACTATTTCCAGTGTGGGAGCATCATGGAGCGCAATATGAGACACACGACACGTCGTGCACCTTACCTACCAGAGCTGTAACGGCCCAAAAGGACATGTACAGCTCTGAGGCATCATCCCAGGTAGTGCTTCATGGCTTTGGCCATCAAGGCATCAAAGGCTTCTGCGGACAGCTGCTCAAAAACTGGAATCCTCAGCGAACATCTCTTCTTACTATTGTGTGTGTGCGCGTATGTGTTCATTTCCAGCTTCAGATGCTCAAGATATGAGGAGTGCCAATGCCTCAAGTCAGCATGGACTTGAAATGGCTCAGTTCCCAGCTTGGAGCTGCTGGCCAAGTTGCCACTGCAAAGGACTAGATTCAGACCTGGCAATGAACAAGCAAACTATGAACATAAACACATCTGTGCAATATACTGCACAATGGCTTACATGTTACAGCGGATGCTACCTCTAGGTGATCTGCGAAGCAGTGTACCGGTCAAACGCATTGTCTTCAGAGACTAGAGAACATATCCAAAGGCCTTGAACATGGCGTTTGGAATGCTGATCGAGAAACTCAGCTTCTCCTAGTATCTACCAAAAATGAAATGCAAACTCAGTTGCTTTGCCTTCAGTCAATGCGAAACATAATTTCCGCTTGGATAAATTCCCCTAGGCCCTAAACTCTTTATATATATATATATATAGGCCTATCCCTACCTGGGACATTCAGCTGATTCAAGCTTGTTCTTGGTTCGTTTACTTTCTGAAAACCACTTCGGCACACATACCCGCCACTTTTTCTAGGTTTTGCAATGTTTTGGCAATTGCCTTCTTCTTCCTCGATTTTCTTACACGGTAGTGAGGTTCAAGATCATATGTGTGTATATATATATATATGTATACACATGCACATATGCAACCCCCCTGCTATAATCCTATGTTGGTGCATGCCTGTGCAGAAGAAACAATTGCCACACCACACACACAACAAAAACACACAAAGCACCACTGGTTCTGACCTGAATCTCTCATATTTATACGTTCCTGGTAACACCTGATTACTCTGAAGCCCCCACCGCCTCTTCCAAAATGATTTACTTGATATTTGAATGTGATGAACTTTTACAACACAACTACACCACACATTGTATCAAGATGCATTTTCATTTGCCTTTGAAGGAACCAACCTTTTTTCTCAGAACTATATAGACTGAATTAGCACAACAAGTACACCAGTGGTATCTTCAAGGCATCCTTTGTACTTTGGTAGTACTCTTAGTACTCTTTTGGTGGAGAAAATGAGATGGGATGTGTGGGTATCGTCCATGAAGGTCTTGATTTTAAAGTGCATGTAATTTACGTAATTGAATGCGTTGGTATGTGCCACTGTATTCCTCACAAAGCTGAGTATCAAGGGGCAAATGCCTTGGTTGTTCCGCAATCAAAACAACATAGGAATAAAGAAAACATAAGAATCAGAAGATCCCACGGTCCCACGATGACAACAGCAAAAGCAACAAAGTGTTTCGGAAGCTGGACGACAGCGGAGGAGGGAGAGCAATTTGGTGGGATTTTCGAGAACTTTCTCGGGTTGTCCCCCAGTTCCAGTGAGCTTTCTCATCCCCAAGTCATGAGGAAACATGCTTTGTGTGGTGATCTAAAATGCAAAAGGAAAAATGTAAGGGCTCCTTTAATGAGGCCCTTGTCAGGGCCATTCATAGAAGGGTCCCTGAATTTAAATCTCTATTTGTTGACCACCCCACTGGTGAGCTTCATGCTCCTCACGGCTTCACTAATGGCAAGCTTTTCCAAGACTTCCAAGAGGCCCGGCGCCAGTCTGGGCGGCATCGAAAATTGGAGCTCGGTTGGTAGGGAGCCCGGAAGGTTGGGCGCTCCTCGCTTGGTCAGGCATCCGACATCTACAAGTCGCAGTCTGATGGCTGGATCCGCTAGATGCGCTTGCAGTTGGCTTGAACAGCCTCACATTTTGGTCCACAGTTCTCGACACACAGCCACAGAAACTTGACATTTGAAAGACTGTTGCTCGTGCTGCACTTCTAACCAATGGGCGAATCCATAGAACAAGCTGCACAAATTTATGATTGATTCAATATAACTGATGTAATGGGTCGTGAACTGCAGCAAAAATGTGACATTTGTCTTAGAAACGCAAAGGGGCAATAAGACATGACCTAGCAACCTGAAGATATTTATATAAAGGATTTGACATTGCCAAAAGCAAACTGGGCAAAGGTACGCTGGACACGCTACTTAGTGCAGATCTGTCTGTCCTCAAACTCTCGGTCATCTCTTCGCCAAACCTCGCAACGAATGCAGCAAACTAGCTTTGACACGATTTGCTGTATTGTGTCTTGTGTCTTTCTTCTTGTTGCTTTGTATTGTTTTCCTTTTTCATTCCTTCCTTTTCCTGTTCCTGTTCCTGTTCCTGTTCCTGTTCCTCTTCCTCTTCCTCTTCCTCTTCCTTCCCTCCTTCCTTCCTTCGTCCCTCTCTCCCTCCCTCCCTCCCTCCCTTCCATCTTTCCTGTCTGTCTGTCTGCCTGCCTGTCTTTCTTTCTTCTAGTCTTGCGTTCTGTTCTGCTCTGTTCTGTTTGTTCCTTTTCCTATTTCTTTCCTTTTCTTTGTTCCGTCCTTTTTCTATATGTTCTTCTTTGAGTTGTTTTTCTTTCCTTTCCTCCTTCCTTTCTCTTCCTCACTGTTCAACAAGTCTTTTCTGATCTGTTATCCGTTCACGTATTTCTGGGTCTTTCAGGTTGATCCTATGATTCTCAGGCTTACTTGGTAGTTTGGACTCAAAGCTAAAATGGCCAGTTCAAAAACAATGTGCGTTGGAAGAGTCTGGGGCAGCAAACCTGCACGAGCAAATTCATCAAGCGCGCAGAGGCCTTTGCCATCTGGCTGCGTAGTACCTCAGACACAACCCCAAGGTCTTAGTCGACAAAGAGCTTGAAGCAGAAACAACTGGAAGTGAAGTGTCATGCACAAGTGTAGTATATACACATATGCAAAATGCACAACGATCGATAGGCTAGACCAACAAAATTTGGATGGGGCAAATGCACTTGTATTTGAAGAGCTTCATGTGAAGGCACATGATTGCTCTTGGTTGCACACGACTGCCTCCCCCCAGTAGAACGCAGCTTTCAAGAACCATGGTTTCGTCCTCGCTTTCTATCGCTTCATCCTCGCTTTCTACGGTCACCCATGAAGTTTCTGCTTCATTATCAGATAAAACATTCCTGCTGAAGTGCAACTTCATCACATCCTGGTGTGAACCACGTTTCTTAAATGCCCCCCAACACGTACAAGGACCTTGGAAGCACTGGAGCATTGAAGTACGTACTTTATCTCAAGTGTGTGTGTGTGTGTGCGTGTGCATATGTGGGGAAAACCCGAAAATCGGCGAATCCAAACCATGTTACTGCACCTCCTTGGAAAACCGGCGAATCCACAAACAAACAGATTGTTTGACCCAAAAGACTGATGCGCGACGATAGCTGACAGCAATGCACCAATCACAAAATAGTTCAAAAATACAAGTAGTGAAACTAACGGTTGCCATATAGAAATGTCCTTGCTTGAAAGTGATGCGCGGCATTTGGTTTCTGTCTGGTTACGACTTTGAACCATTCAGTGTCCACACACTGGGCAAAACATCATTCCTTCCCGAAAAACAAGACAATTTAACAATGCTGTGAGCACTCTTGGAAGCCTGGCAAGATGCTCCATTTCCTTGGCAAGGCATCACTGAAATTGTTCCAACGTGGTATTGTGATTCCGCATCTTCTGCAGTGGCTCGGTGAAAAACTTCGAGATAATGGCACTCCAACAATTCTTCACCAACACAAGGCTAAAGTACATTGAATTTCATATCAAATGCGTTGGCGTGTGAAACTCATAGTCAACGAATCAACTTATCAAAAAATGTATCGTTATTTATATATATCTCTATCTATCTATCTATCTATCTATTTAGACATATACGTGTATCGATTTTTTCGACCTGCAAAAATTGAACACGCTCTACTCTCTCCTTTTGTTCACGGGGGATGGGGATGCCTCCGGCGCAGCTGCGCTGCTGAGCGAAAGGCGAAAGGTTTGTAAGATATGCATCCACTTGCATCACCTGTCCATACAGCGACTTAGGCTTCTTATCTCTAGACGAAGTGCATGGACCTTGAACTTATCGAATCATTTCTCAAACTCCAAGAAATACTCCCATAGTTTGCCGCCGGGTTCAACTTCCACTCTAACATGCTCAACCACGCTGTCCAACATTCAACTACTCCCCACCTCGACCTGGAGGGCACATCTGGGAGAGGGTACAGGCGTGTACCATGTCAAACTGTTGTTTGACGCATCCTGTATCATGGCCTCAACAAGCATCTGCCTACCATAAAGCCACAAGCATTGGTTTCGCAAATCTCGGTAAACACAAGGGACGGCGGCTCATTCCTGATTGCCTCAAGCTGGCTGGGGCGTTCCCGAATGGGGGTGCGCTTCAAGGATGTCGCCCGTCATTGCCTGTCTGGCTCAAGGAATCCTACACACTCCGGTTTGTTCTTGAACCCTTCTCAGGCTCTTCTGCAATGCACAAACCCAGCGTCCTAAAGGCGTCACGAGGGTCGTCGAAATAGTTCACTGTTGGAATTCGTGAGGAACCTGTCCGTGGCCTGACTGCCCCGTGAAAGGGCAATACATAGCAGCAGACGAAATACTTCACCCGGACCCCGCCCCAATCACCGCGCTACACCTGTCAACTAGGTCCTGCGCCTCACCTCCCATTGCTGGGGTCATAGGGGTGTGAACAACCACTGACTTGGGGTCGGACTCCCGTCGCGGGCGCCCTCCTGATGGCAATCAACCTCGCGTCGACTATACGACTTCCAGTAGTAGCTGCTTGATGGTCTGCAGGAATTGCACAAACTTCCAACTCAACAAGGAGATGCGATCACACGCGAATGGACTCATGATAATGGCAATCGCTTGGCGCAACAGCAACAGGTTCTCGGCCTCACTAGCTGTGCCATACTGCTACTTGCCACGCAACACTGCTACTTGACACAGTTCTTTACAGTTGTGTAGCAAGGATGTCTTCTTGTCAGGTTCACCTCCAAGCATGCACACTTCGAAAGTGGTGATGTACACGCCCTTCATTTCAAACATCGCAGCAATACACAGAACCAACGACATGTATATAGCTGTTGCAAGGTTGGGTTCTGTTGGCCACGAAGACTTACCTTTTACGGTGCACTTCTCCACGGTGGATGCTGTTCCACAGGACGGCGCCAACGGGAAGAAGCCCTTCTCCAGTCCTCTTCTCAAGAGAACATGCACTCCTTTGCTGAATTCATATCTATACTACTCTTGCACTTCTTGGGCCGCACTTACTACACACTCGCACATGGCCCACCTGTTAACTCCATCACTGCTCCTGACTCATCCACGTCAGTGACGAAGACTTAGAACACAAACAGCCCCTCCCCTACCTGGTGCTCACTCACTAACCCTGCATGGCTCTCCTTCATGGCATCTTCACACCTGATATCTTACTTTCTGCGTCTCACACTGCATTGTATGACGGGGCTCATCACTCCCTTCTGTCACTGTTGCGCCACTTCGGGCTGGTGCTGTCTTTGGCTTGAGTCCCTCAGCCAGATCAAAGTCCTCCTTCATCATGTCGACCGAAGTCCTCCTCGTCGCCCACCACTATGGGCCCCCCGTCACCTCACTCCCCATCTGGGGGGCCACCGTCGTCAATCTCCATGACATCCATGGCACAATGAAAAAGACACAGCGTAGGGGGGCCATACTTGAAGCCAAAATGGCACACATGTGCAGCCGTTACACAACTACTGTTGTTTCACTGTTTATTCGTTGTCAAAAGGCATCATTTCAATATGCATGTATCCCCATGCTTGACTTGTGTCACAAAATTTGCTCAGTGGCCCCGGCTCACCCTTCTGGTTTGGGCCAAGCGTCGGCGAGGGAAAAAATGTGGCCAGCCACTAAATACGAGCAATTGTTGTAGAAGGAGATCAAATGCCTTGCCGGGTGCCAGGAACATGCCAATGTAAGTTCTTTGGGCAAAATGCGTGAATTGATCCTGAAACTTGCAGTGAGCAAGACTTTCATGTTTATGCAACCTTGTGTTTGGAACACAAACATGACCATTGACAACCGCGTTTCAGAACCATGCTTAGCACTTCAGTGTCCACAAGTCTTTAGGGCACACATGTTCTGGCCTGACGCTTCGGGGCCTCCCGCAAAGGACACGAGCATGCACCAGCAAGCTGTGATAGACATTCACCTTAACCACTCAAAAGCTGACAAAAAAATGTGACAATCTGGTCTTCAATCTCTCAAAACTGCACCGGCCACTGAGTGGAACACCCAAAAGCTCCAGAGATCCTGCAGAGTACATGTCTGAACCCATACATGCTTTGTCAACCCTATCCTGGCACATCAGTTTCACAACTCTTTTCTCCCGTAGTGATGTTGTGCAATTGAATTGTAAAAAAAAGTAAAACCAGTTCCTTATTGTTCCTTCAATTCCTCAACAAAAAGAGTGAAACTTTCGAGAGAAGTCACTTCCTGCGGCTCGAGCGGGGTCAAGTCCAAACACTTCAGCTTGCAGCTCAAGCTAGTTAGGGGCTGCCTGAACGGAGAGAAGTCCAACAACTCTCATGAGTTCCAAATCAGCTGCCCACTGAAACTGCTCATATCTATTGTTTTTTTTAGCCCGGGGGGTAGGCCGAGAAGAGGCAGTAGCTAGGTAGCTAGTAGAAGCAAACGGTAGTTCTATTGTAGCTTAAGTAGCTACTACCTAGGACGCAGGATACCTCACGCTCGCACTATTAATTTGATTCCTAGATTTTAGGGAAACTTAAGTTCTCCCCTACAACTTAATTAGGTACTCAGGCCTAGAATCATCACGTCACAAGTTTGTCGGACAGCTGAAACCAAGAGCAAAACAAGTCAGTTAGGCTGTTAGGCTGCTGTGGGGATGGGAGATGCGCTCTTGGCCATGTGAAAATTATGTTGTGTCCTGGTTTCCCCCTAGGCATCGCACAATTCTTCCGCGGACAAGCTGCCCTGGGAGCCTCAAACACTCGCATGGCCAAAAGGCAGGTACGCTTGCAAAACGCTACAGCTTGAACACTCAGATCGAAATCACCCAACACAGCTTTCTCCACACAAACATCAGTGAGCATTGGACACCAGGACATCACATCCATGCTTGTTGACCCCAGAACAATGTAGATTTAAATATATATATATATATAGTAGCTACTTGTTACTACTAGTAAGGCACTTGTTCCTAGTAGCTTCTTGTTACTACTAGTAAGGCACTTGTTACTAGTAGCGATGCACTTGTTCCTAGTAGTATGCTTTTAACTTATATATATATATTGTGTTGAATCTTGCGTACCTGGATTGTAAGAACCTGGGGCTCCTGCTCACAGCTAAACGAAGAAGCTGTGCAGACCTCATGGTTCACCCGTTGCCTTTCATCTCCTAAACTCTGGCTCAGGCTCTACAACCTTTTGTTCCGTGGATTGTTGGGGCATTATATACTTGGACGGTCATGGCAGTAGACTATACAGTATGTCAAGTCACTGTGGTTTCCTGTGCCATGTAATTATGTTCTTAGTGTCTGTTGTCATCAAGCTCTTTTACACAGCCCAGCCGGCAACAGGAGAGAGGGCATCAATCGTGATCAAAGAGCCATCATAGTTAAGGTTTGTTCGTAGGCACCAGACTCGTTTCTATCTGGCAAATTGTACCTGAAATCTGGGTTCCGAACAAAGCAACGGGGTCCTGAAGGTCCAGAAGCGATTCAGAATACCAGTGGTTGTCTACATCTTTACAGACTTGAGTTTTATACAATTGTCCTGACCTTTAGCACCCTGGACTCAAACGATCAAAAACACGGTGTCAGAGCGTGCTCAAGAATTAGAAGCCTCAGGACATTGAGCTGGCTCGAGCTGTTCGGCTCTGTTCAAAAAGGTCAGAAGGCAAACAACTCATAAACATGGTCCCAAGCATCCGAGCGTTTTTGACAACAAGGACGCTACTAGGGGCTCCTGGCATCGCTACTAGGAACAAGGACGCTACTAGTTTCTGGTGGCAGTTGCTTGGTTTGGAAGTTGACTGCCAAAAGGGATCAACAACGCTTATGGTTTATGGTTTATGGCTCACACACGCTTCACTAAGAAGCCAAGCTATACCATGGCTCTATGGTCCACGTCATAGGAGTGCGCGTGAGGCCACACCCACCTGCAAAAGTATTCACCTACGTTGGAGTGGTTCATGCCAAGTCCAAATTTACCCTCGGGTGGTCTACATCAGTGTATATATTCTAATAACTAATAATTATGTTTTAATATGTGTTATTTAGTCGTGCAATCATTAATTCACATATATAAGTGCTAAGTTGCAATGGCTCCTTCCTGCTCTAAACTTTGCCCTTGAGAGGCCCACAGAACGTATGCCAAGTTGGCTCCGTCCTTCCTTCCTTCCTTCCGTCCTTCCTTCCTGCCTTCCTGCCTTGAGTACCCACCAGAAGCACAGAAACACTGACCAGCGCAAGCAGCACAGATTGACAGTCCGGACACTTCCAACAGCAAATTGGCCACCGCTCCAAAAGGCCAACAAGCCAAGAAGCCATGGAACCAAAGGCCAGAAGCAGAAAGCCTAGAGCCAGAACCAACCAAAAAAACAATAAATACAAAAACATCCCTCCCTTTGAAAGGCCCAGGTCTGCGTAGAGCTTCCGGTACACTTTGAACACTTGCGCAAAATTGCCATGACCCGCCCAGCTTCCAACCTTGACGTCGTCAAGAGACAGCTCAAAGTCATTGCAAACCAAGCGGTGGAAAGGCCACCGCCTTAGCCTTCCCGACGGACATAGAAAGACATGTAAGCTTGATCTAATATGTCAGAACGCGGGTTCAATCAGTAAAAGATTGACATAGTCCATCCTGTTTTTCTTGAAGTTAAATTTCCCTAAAAAGACTAGAAACCAGAGCGCTTCTTCAAGGAAACGATCCTGAGGCGATCCTTTGAGGAACTATCCTGCGTCCATAGAATGTAGTAGCGTCCAGTAGCTAGGAGCGAACAAGTCTGCCCTTGTTTGATTCAATAGGAGTAAGAGGAGCAAGAAGCTACTAGGAGCAAAGGGCATCGCTACCAAGGGCTCCTGGCCTTACTACTAGATCTACTAGTAGCAAGAAGCTATTAGAAACAAGAATTCAATAGAATTAGAATTAAAAGAACTCCACGACTCCATGAATGGTTTTCTGCTTCGAACCCTCCGGACCAACCTGTCTTTCATTGGAGAAAGAATCACCGCTGGGCTGTCATTGCTATGCCTGGGCAATGCGAACTGAATGTGAAAGAATGTGGTCCACCATTAACCATATTCCATATTTTTCAAAATATATAGACCAATTGAGACATAATGTGAACATATCACGTTGGTGCGTTGGTGTAGTCTTTCTCTCGGGGCAAGCTAACATGTTGGCTCGATTGAAGCGCTTCCTGACCTTCCGGTCTTTGAAAAAGGGTGTCGACCGCGTTTGAAGGTAGGAACAAGGACGCTACTAGGGGCTCCTGGCATCGCTACTAGTAACAAGGGCCTTACTAGTAGTAACAATGTTTGCTATTAGAAACAATAAGAAGCTATAGACTTTAATTATAATTAAACTAAATTAGAATTAAACCTCCATGACCGAGCTTTATCGAAGGAGCGCAACCGCAACAAACTCCTCAAACATTCACTGGTCAGGCTCCAGGCGTTTTCAACGTTGTGACCCATTTGTCTGCATCTTCCGGTGACCTGTCCATCACAAACGAAGCTGCATCGAACTTACTGTGTGGCCAGAATTGGCTAGATCTATTCAAAGAACTTCTACAGTTGTCCGACACATGACATGCAAAGATATTCTGTATTGATGTTCCCAGCATCAGCGCTCCAACTAACTTGCACGTCACGTCTGCCAGTCTATGAGTCTATAGTTTCAATATACAACTAGTGCAGTAGAGTTCGAGAAAGAATACACACCCCCAAATCTCCCAAAACTCCTCTCTGAGTTCTGTAGGTTGCTTGACTTGGTTGACAGTGAATTGAGTGCCTCATCAGAAAGACAAATTGACGTTGTGGCGTGGTGACTGTCACAGCAGGCGCGTCTGCCACAGTGGTCCTGATTGGTCAAAAGATGCAAATTCATTCTGATATAGCTGTTGGGAACATCAAGTGTTCAGAAGGTTCAAGCCGCTTTCTCTGACAGCGGAGCTTCATGCGACGCGGCGTTCAATTTGTCGGCAAAGGTACTCTAATGATGTTTGCGAAAATAGAAGGAAAATATACAACTTCTGTGACAATGCCTGCTGTTGCACTTCCTTTGAAACTTGCTCCATACAGAAAGTAAAGCAAATCCAATCGGATGCAAAAGAATCTGACCAGTCTGACCACCCAAAAGTGTGTCAGCCTTTGTCAGTCAAACAATGGACAGAATCATCTCGCAGTCTCCTTGAAGCAGTCGCACGGCTTAGTTCAACGAAAAAATCCTCCGAAAAGTAGGCTTGAGGCCTGGCTGTCTTGGATCAGCTGCTCAATACCACAAATGGATATGGTCCTTAAGGTTGCAATCAACTCTTTTCGTGTGAGCGATATCTTCTCTACTAGGGCCCTAGGGGTAGTGACATGTAATGACGTCACTTCCCTGAGGCGAGCAGAGGGATGTGATGGTTAAGTTAAAGAATGTGTTACAAGTTGCAACGTGAGTAAATTGTTACAACATGAGTCAAGATTGAAATGGCCCCAATGGCCTTTTGATCCGCCTTATCTGGACTGTGCTGTCAATATCAGGACCAGTTGGCAGCCAGCGGCGCCAGCTGCATGATCCAACAGAGTCGCAAGTCAACAGACCTTGATGACCAATGGTCATGGCCAGCATGGCCTGTCCATCCACGATCGGCTGCCAGTGTCACTCTTCCAGCGGAGGGCCTTATTTGTCTCAGAATTGTTTGAGCCGATCACCCCCGCAGGATCTTGGTCCAGTGGAGAGACTCAAAGAACACCTTAAAGTAAAGAGAGCTTTCTCCGTCAATTATTTGAACTCCTGAGGACATCACCAGAGGCGCATCTTCTTTAGAACCCAAGTCGCTGAGGAACCCACCTGACAAAAGTCCAGGTGGAAATGACTTCAGCAAGCCTAAGAAGGGGTCACAGTTGTGTCATGTCTCCTAGTGTTTACATTTGTACTAGGATACATTATCCTAGTTGCTAAATTAAGTTTGTTAGTTTGTCACGTTTCCTAGTTTGTGTCATGTACTGCAGTTCTTTCTTCCGAACTGCACGCCTCGACCAGCAGCATCTGCAGCCGAGCGCAGCACTGCGCTCTTCGAGACCACCTGTGCTCCAGTGCGGAGCACAGCATCACTTGTGCGTGCCTGGCACGCGCTATCTGCGGCACCAAATTTGGATGCTAGGTGCTGTAGTCACCAAATCACTGTCACAGAAATGAGAAGGGGGGCCTTATTACGGGGGCCCTTACCTTCCTTTCTTATCTTTTTCTGTACCTTCACTCCTCGTCTTGGTGACATTCCAATCCCTTCAAGATGCTGCAAAAACTGTTTCAGTGGATTTCAACACACTGAAATGAGAGGTCATGACTCCCAACGCTGACTCTGCTCTACCTTTGTGTCGAGCATTCGCAGCTATACATTCACAGGTAGAGTCTACTTGCTAAGCTGAATGTTCTTCAATGATCTATATACTCGTAAAGCTTGTTGTTCTCCGTTTCTGGCTATGAGCCCTGCCTCGCTCAAGGAAACCTTCCTCTCAACAATGCGGCCCTCGCTTTCCACCACTCCCACCCAACCTCGGCTGCATGTCAGACATCGAAATGTCACAAACGTTCCAAGTTTCTACGAATCAGCATCGTTCTGATTGAATTCAAGGGCGCGCACACACTTCGAACTTCGAACTTGGGTTTTCAGTTAACGCAATTGTCTCAATGGGAAGG